AGAGAGATGAGACCCTGAATGATCCGCAGAGACCCTGAACGCACCGCAGAGACCCTGAACGCACCGCAGAGAGATGAGACCCTGAACGCACCGCCAAGATGAGACCCTGAACGATCCGCAGAGAGATGAGACCCTGAACGCACCGCAGAGAGATGAGACCCTGAATGATCCGCAGAGACCCTGAACGCACCTCAGAGAGATGAGACCCTGAACACACCGCAGAGACCCTGAACACACCGCCAAGATGAGACCCTGAACGATCCACAGAGAAATGAGACCCTGAACGCACCGCAGAGACCCTGAATGCACCGCAGAGACCCTGAATGCACCGCAGAGATGAGACCCTGAACGCACCGCAGAGAGATGAGACCCTGAACGCACCGCAGAGAGATGAGACCCTGAACGCACCGCCAAGATGAGACCCTGAACTCACCACAGGTTACCTCTGTGATGTCATGTTGACATGTGACCTCACCTGGACCTCCACCTGGAAGCCATCGTTGAAGGTTCCTCTGAGGACGAAGTTTCTGGACGTCCCGACAAGGAACTCGTCTCCCTTTCCCTCCGCCAGCGCCCGGATGTTCCCGTACTGATCCGGGACCTGAGAACACATTGGAGGTTAGGGTCTGTGTGTGTGTCTGTGTGTGTGTGTGTCTGTGTGTGTGTGTGAGACCTCAATGTCGTGGTCCAGCTGCAGCTGCTGGTCCCACAGGACGATCCTGCGGTCTTTTCCTCCTCCGGTCAGCAGCGAGCCGCTCCGCATGTCACACATGCAGAAAACTCCCTTCTCATGAGCTTCGATTGGCCGCAGGTCGGTCCTCATCTGGAAGGCTGCACACACACACACACACATACAGCAGTGAGTATTTGAGCCGACACCTGGACCTGGTCAAGGTGAAGCTCAGGTCTGATGACGCCCCCTCTCACCTTGCGGCGCCTTGCCTGCGGGCGCCTCGGCAGAGTTCCGGGTCCAGACCAGCAGCTGTCCGGCCGAGTCTCCGGTCACGATGTCGCCGTTGCTCCGGAAAGTCAGGCACTGGATGAACTTGGGCCGGTCGTGACTCTGACCACAGAAGAAGAAATGTTGAATAATGTGACCTGTCGTAGGGTGCAAGGCTCTGTCCTACTGAACCAACCAGTTGGTCACTGGAACCAGAACCAGTTTGGTGCAACTGGTCCGTTTCAAGAACAAAGTTATTTTCTGGCTCTAAACTGAAGTTTTCCTCTCAGCCGGATGATTTTTAGTAACTCGGGATCTACTGGTTTTACTGGGATCATGAGCTGCAGGTAGGTGCAGAATCCCTTTAGCCAGTAATAAGGTGGGAGGTCCAAAAGGTACTGTTGGGTTCTGCTCACCCCGAAGAGTCCCTGCTTGCGCAGCAGCGAGTTCCCGTTCCAGGCCCAGAAGAAGATGTGGAACTTCCCACAGGTAACAATCGTGTTCGGGTCGGTCGGGTGGAACTCCACGGCCAGAACCACGTCGGTGGTCGTCTGTAAGGAGACAACGGGTACCACTTAGAACTGGTACTGTCCTGGTACTGGCTAAGGTACCAGAACACCTCAGCCAGTACCGGTTGCAGATCCAGAGAACCCGGTCAGAACCAGCTCACCTTGATCTCTGCGATCTTGGACTTCTTCTGCCAGTCCCAAACCGTCAACATGTGGTCGTTGCAGTCATCGATGACGCTCAGGTGCTGACCCGAGTCCTGAAACACAGAGACCCGTTAGGAAGGTTCTACAGAACCAGAATGTGCATCATGGCCACCTCCTGATGGATACTAACCGCTTTGGAGAACGCCAGAGACCCGACGCCGCGTTCAAAGGTTCCCAAACCGATGACCTGCAGAGTGGACAGGCTGACGCTGTCCCAGACCCGGACATGAGGCTGCAGCGCCTGAAACGGACCATACAGAACCAGTCAGCACCTAAATTTGGGTAGAGGATCGTCC